TGCAATAGTATGTTTAAAAGAGTACAAAGGGAAATATTTCTCAACAATTATGTTCATGTACCTTTTAATATATATGTTTTTTACGCTAGATAGATATTTTTTGTCAGACAGTTCATTCGCAAATGACAAGTTTACATAAACATGTTATCCAAGACTCATATTCTAATACCACAGGTAACATGACAATTGTCAATGGTTCACTATAACGTTATCTTGAGATACATGCGATATGGTTATGAAGATATGAATTGTAACTGATAAAAGCGCAAGAAGTGACACGCACTTAAACTTACCCGAAATATATAAGCGACAAACAAACACATGCAAATAACGTGCCCTCAGCTTGGGTTGCTCTCCTCATGTATATTTCTAAGAATTTAAAACATAGGAAAATTTGGGGTGTTTTTGTCACAGACCTATCAAAATATGATTTAAACAGTGGTTAGGATCACATGCAAAAAGGACTGGTTTGGGAGAAACTATTTGTAATGAAGGAAAATCTAAATCGCGAAAACCATCAGTGAAGCGCAGCATACCAATACAGGAAAACCGCCAATATCTCTTAGATATGCACAGTGGAGATATGTGGTTGTTTCTGTCTTGTGTCATCAAATTGAGGGAATAAGGAATACATAATGTCTTAACGTGTGTGTGAGTTCAGTTTTACGCTGCACTGAGCACAATGTCTTAACGAGTCATAGTTTTATGTAGAATGTATAAAAAGAAGTGTGTTGTTTTTGTCCTTTTCCGATGTTATTTGTTTGAAGCTACGTTTGAGTATCGAAAGCTATCATTGCCTGCTGTATGCAAAATGTAATATTAAAAAGTGTAATCTTATTTTGTATCAGATGCAATAAACATCTGTTGAGGAAAGCAAGTAACTTCCATGTATTGTATGCGAGTATCTTGTTTTGATAGAAACATTGCAAGAAGTAAACTGTTGTTATTTGGTGACTGCTAAGTGTTGTTATTTGCTGTTATGTACGGTTGTGTGTTAGTCACCAAGGAGAGATTTAAACCAGCGTGTTGCTACATGTTACCCATGTTACCAAGTGTCATGAGTTTCTTTGTTATTAAGTAGATGTATATACAATGTCTTGGCAGTCTTAAGGTATTGCAAGTGATAGATAATATTGATAAGTAATCTTCATCTTTCAAAATGAACGAACGGTTATAAATAACAAAACTAAACTATTTGTGAATGTATTTCAACCATGTATACACTTGACCTAAGTAGTATTTGATATCCTGTCAAACATATCAGTGTGGCAAAGCCAAACATTTATACAAGTTGCGTTAATCATTTTGTATACATTTACACATGATGTGCTTGTGTATTGTACTTTTGTAGAGTCAAAATGTTAAGATGTTGCATGTGTGTTGTAGAGTTGGACAAGCAGCAGACACACTCCTAAATATATAACGCCATTGAAAGAGAATTCCACGCTTATGGTGATGGTGTTTTTCTACACTAACAGTGTTTCTTTGTAACCGTGCTTGATGTTGTAATAAAAGGTTAAAAATGATCTGTGTTTGGTTTCTCCCTCTGAAATTCACTTTACCTGAGCATTCTGCACAACATGTTTAAGTTACCTTTTTGAGCATATGTTTTGGTATGAAAGGAGAAAGAACTGGGTTTGAATCGGAAGGGTGTATAATATACTCATGCCAATAATGGTTGTCACCCCTCAGCCTATTAGTAAAATTGAAAGGGGTGACTACCATTATTGTCATAAGTATATTTAACATTGAAAAAGTATTTTTCGCTTTAAATACAACAATATCCCAGCACCTCCTTTGCTGTGGACATTTTGGGACTTTTGATGTATGTTATCAGATGCTACTCAACGTTCAAAGATTCTCCATTGATAAATTGGATGAGTGAGTGAGTTAACATTTTGCACACCAATATAGCGATGAGAAAAAGTTATTTATTAAATGTCTGTTGACGAAAGGCAAAAAACAGTAAGATAGATATTACTGTTCAAGTTTAAAAGACACTACGTCACTATTAAAACAGAAGATTCAGGACAAATTTTACTTTAGACCACTATCAACCAAAGCTTCATAGGAACGTTACCTTTGCTTCCTGCATGACTTCCCAGCAGGATTTACGCCTCACTTGGTCTCTTGTGAGTGAGTGAGTCTACTTTTAGCAGTATTCCAACAATATCACTACGGGGGGCACTAGAAATGGTCTTCACACATTGTACCCTTGTGGGGAATCGAACCCGGGTCTTCGGCGTGACGAGCGAGCGCTTTAACCATTAGGCTACCCCCGTGGCTCCTTTGGTCTCCAGTGGTTGTATATAGAATAGAAGCAACAAAACCCTTTACGTATCCATAAGAAATCTCTGCTGAAACAGAGTCGATTGTACAATTGACAATGTCATGGGAAAATATTTGTTTCAACAGTATTACACCTGTTCGAAGTTGTTTGTAACAAACTGAGTCTTAAGGAAAAGGATTTTTATGGATGTCAACTTCTTTATTGTTGCATTTCTGGTGTCCCCCGCCGTGATATTGCTGGAATATTGCTAAAAGCGGCGTAAAACTAAACTCAGTCAGTCTTTATTGTTGCGGCCAAAATGATTATGTATTTTACGAGCGCTTTTTGTAAATTCCCACTCAGATCATGGGAGGTAACTCTAATTCACTTTTTAAGTGTAGCGTCGCATGCTGACGCAGATATCGTGCAGAGTAGAATGTCGAAGGACCACGTGTGGAGAAGTGATACAAAATGGTATGGAAAGACTTTCATTTCTCAATATAAAACATGTATTTTATGTTGATTTGGTAAGCAACAGTTTTATTCTGTTGCCTTGACAGTTTCTTTTTTGAAAGTAGTTATATCCACCCGCGGGAGGTAACCCTTGTCGCCCTAAATCTCGACCTAAAAACGTGTCTCAAAAATCGCGCAAAACAGTTGGTCATTTAGCACTACGCTTTTTTTGTAACGAAAGGAATGATTGGTCAGTTATTTTTAGCTAGCCAATAACAGGAAGGAACATAAGGTGAGGCGTGCGCAATTTGGTATCTGATGGTGCGGTCCCAGTGCCGCCCTCACGCTACTCGACCTTCTCGACCTGAAGGTCGAATTGGGGGTCGAGTTGGTCGAGTTTCAGAACGAGTTAGGTCGAGTCAGATCGAATCAGATCGAATCAGGTCTACCAAGTTTTTGAAATTTTTTTGACATGTCAAAGATTTTCCCCGACTTCCTCCTCGACCTTCGGTCCGAGATGGGGTCGAGACCAGGTCGAGAATAGGTCGAGTTAGGTCGAAAAAAAGGTCGAGTTAAGGTCGACATAAGGTCGAGTTTGTCGAGTTGAAGGTCGAGCTGGCCTGACATGCCGATCTGTGTTCGTCTTAGTGTCGATCTGTACTCGGCCTCGACTCGACCTCGACCCGACCTTGAGTCGACCAACCCGAACTAGACTCGACTTGGACTCAACCTGGAGTCGACCGAGTCGACCTGAAGTCAACCTATCTCGACCTCAACACGACCTAATCGAGTCCGCGCCGACCGCATAAATGGTCGCCATCTTCCCAGATGCTTCATAAAAGCCAAACGGCAGCCAGTGATAGCACATCATTTCCACACCAACCTGCTGCCACCCAGAGGTCCACCCTGAGCACACCGAACCTCTCCAACACACCGCAAAGCAGCGAAACAGGCTGGTATCTTCCCTAGCTTTGACTCCAGTGCTGCAGCAGGTATATCTCTGTACCTGCCAAGCGGTCTCTTGGACCCTACACACACCTCAGAGAATCAGTCACATGTTCAGGACTCTCAGCAAAGACAGTGAACTTGGTACTCATATATTGTCATGAGCACTTTATACTGATGTGAAATGTGACCTTCAGATTATTTAAATGAGTTTCCAATACAAGATTTAAAAGCTTTTTTATCTGATATTTTTTTGGGTATTTTCCATCCATTGCTAAGTGTAAATGTAAATGCATCTTGTAAGTTTGTTTTGTTCATCATGTATATAGTTAGTTTTCATTGTGTGTTTTTTCGCATTTACCATTTGTAAATAGTGTAAATAAAATACAAACAAGAGATCCTTTGTAAATGAAGTAGTCCTAAATAATAGAGTACACTTTAGAGTCATTTGGATATCATCTTCTCTTGCCAATGACCAGCTCCTGGGCCCATGAAATAGTCCTTCAAATAGTTTCTTTGGTTGGCGCCATCTAGTGGGGTAACGTTGCTCGTACCCCGGTTATCCCAATCAAGCAGCTGTGTGTAGGAGCGCCACTTGCCTGGGGTGAGTGAACAGTCCCCATTCCCCGGTCTATGAGGTTCATCTGACTGTTCCGGTTCCTCGTTCTCAGCATGTGGTGTAAAGTGACGCAGGCCTGGGATATCTGTATAGGGAACCTCATAGCCAGAATCCCGAAGGTATTCTCCACCACTCGTCTGGCCCGAGACAGTCTGCAAAAGTCACAAATTAAACATTTTTAAGTCAAATGCGTTCAAAATTCAAAACCTTTGAGATAATATTGCAGACACCCAAAGATACTAAGTTATAATTTGATTTAGGTATTTAAGGAAAAGAATAATTACCTGTAGTTGAAGATCTGCTGATCGGGGTCCATCTGACGCATGGAAAAGGGCTTCATCATCCAGGGGCGGAGTTGAAAGGCATCGTCTCCGATGATGAAGTATGGCTCACCATACGGGGAATACAAGGTCATCGCCCTCCATCCGATCTCGTGAACGGTTGAAGACCATCAGCGTCTGATGCTGATCCCTTGGCCCCGACGTTGACCCACGGGAACTTGTAGTCGGCATACGCGAGTGCCAGCAAGACAATAGAGAAGAAGGTCTTGTAGTGGTAGAAGAGGGACCCGCTTTTGGGGGGCTTCTTGATGCGTATGTGCTTGCCATCAAACGTACCGGTGCAATATGGAAATTGCCACCTTTCCTTGAAAGCACGGGCTACAGTATTCCATCTACTCTGACCAATACTCAACTTTGAAGGCTTCAATGATAGGATTGATGTGCTTTCGGCTGAGGCTTTGGCTTTGGAGGAGGGTTGGCATTCTCCAGGTCATCCGCCAGTTCAAGCAGGTGCCAGGCTATCTGCACCCAAATGGTAAGCAGTTTTCGCTTCTCGGGGCTCACCAGGTTTACGTCAAGGTTCCTGATGGTGATGTTACTACTTTGCAGTCCTCTAATTGAATGGGTACCTGGTGAAAATGCACCCTGTAATTTATACAATTTGGAAACCAAGGGTCTACTCGGCAGAAAAACGGAATTTCCTTCGAGCACCAGTCGCTCCGGTTGAACACAGGTCGCGGTGAAGTCGGGCCGGTCGACTTAGGACGAAATTAATTCGAAATTAGGTCGATATACGGGTCTAGCTGGTCGAGTATAGGTCTTCTCAACTTAGCCGACCTAAGTCAAGATAGGTCGACTGAAGTCGAACTAAAATCGAACTAAGGTCGTAAAGGTCATTGCGAGGTCGTAATGAGGTCGATTTCAGGTCGTTTTGAGGTCGAGATACACCCCAGGTCGAGACCGGTCGAGTAGTTTGCGAGGTCGAGTCGGTCGAGCTCCCGAGGTCGCTACTGGGACCGCACCATGAGAAACTTATGATGAAAATGTTGACTTTGAAGCAATACAAATTTCCGAAGTGTGTAGTTAATTAACTACTTGAATTGTATTATAATAATAGCCCATTATTCCCTCTACAAACACGTAACAAAAAATATACAATAAGTGCACGTGTTGTAGATGAAAAAATTGTTAAAAAATACCACTCTACCATTCCGGAAGTGAGAATGACATCATCATCTGGGCATTTTTTCTCTGCAATCAACAGCGATTTCGGAGTACGCATCGTCAACAAGCTTTTGAAAACAGCGATTTTACACCAAAATGGTGAGTGACAGCTGACTTTATGAATGGAATAACATTAAGTAAGACACTTTTAGACAAGGGATAATACATAATAAGCCGTGTATTCTTCTAAAGTAAGGATAATGTCTGCAGAATCGTTTCCTATTTTATCATTGAATTTTTGCAATGCAGCATTGCACTGCAGGAGTGACAAAACAGTCACTGAACATAATTAATGATAAAGTCAATGCTTTGTGTGAAATATTTTCAAAATCACTACAGAATGATAACAAGTAAATTATTTATATTACATAATGTAGCCCATCAGTTCATTTATTCATAATTGCAAATGTCACAGCTTTCGTAATAGTTGGCTAATTTGGGGATGGTTAGATCGGAAATGTATTATTCCTGCAAGCATTGTCGGTTCCTTACTATCAACTGACAACCATGAAATCATTCGAAAAGGTATGAAACGCTGTTTGTCACCGGAAGTGCTGTGGTCTCGCGAAGTACCGTGAACTACTTACGGGCCCTTTAGGTTTTAAATGCATTGTAGACTTGGACATTCTTAATACATATCGTCAACACCAGAGAATACACAATCTCCATAATAGGGGCATTGGAATTTATATCATGCGATGAAGACATATAGAACTGAACAGGGATGTCCAGCGTGAGGATGTTCCTATCTTGAAGTAATTACATATGATTTATGCAAAGGATACATGACGTGGAAAACGTCTGGTATTCAGTTTGGCCATGGCTTGGTTTCTCCTGTCATTTTACGAAGTCGTAGCGGGCATGTGACTGTCGATGTAACATTTCACCGGCTGTCAAAGACAATAATTTTATAGTGAATGACTGGATCTGAATAGTCTTTCCAAATTAGTGATCTTCTTGGTGGTGATGTTTCTAGATTAACAGTGTTCCTTTGTAACAATACTTGATGTTGAAATAAAGGTTAAATGATCTGTGTCTAGTGTTTCTACTATTAAATATAATTCAGCTCATCATACTATTGGTTTCGTCACTGGCAAAGGAGGCGTTCGACCGTTGGTATGTTATGACAAAAATTAATTAATTGTCATTACATATTGTTACCAGCCAAATACATGTTCGACATCACAGTTTTCCAACATGTACTTAATTGCAACCCTGCTAAATCGAGGTTCATATAGTTCCATCTAACCTGCGTCAGCGACATCATGATCATGAGGAACTAATACATCACGCCTCCATGCTCGGAGACATCCTACAGGACCTGACAAGGAAGACATCAATTAACAAAATTGTTTACAAAGGGAAATAACTGTAAATGATCTGCATACTATTCCACATTCCGATACCTGCCTCCTTTAGAAATGTGCCCCGGTATTTATGACATTATACATCAAGCATATTTTAGACTCTATATGCTGATGTGCATATGATATAGTATATACAATCTTAAATCAATGAGTAAGAAATACAAAATAAGTACATATTTCATCACACTCATATATCTGAAATCTCTCATTGTCAACATACTTTAGCTAAGGCATTGTTAGAAGTGCACAATTATGATCTTCATCATTACTGTCCATGAACTGGTCTTCTCACATGAGCCATAAATATCTTGGCCGCATTTTATATATTTGAGTCATCAAGTTTATTTGATTGTTCTATTCCGTCTACTTCTACCGGCTTCACCTTAGATTTTACAAATTTCTTTACAAATAAGGAGATATATGTTTGGTCCATCAAATGTACCACCAGATTCCAGTATTATTTCGGGTAAAGTATTTGACAAGAAGTAGGCATCACCATATTTACCAGCTCCCCTCCTTTTGGATCTGTTTCTTTATGCATATGAAATCAGAATGTCTGCTCGGGTGGCAAAATCAAAACAAGGACATTTCGCCAAGACGTATACTGAAGCTTTAGGTATATCGATGATCTAATATGGTTCAATAACCATCAAATATCAAATTCCATTCAACTGAAATATAATAGCAAATATATTAGCTAAAATGTTAAAATCCCATTAAGTTCACTTACCAGCCTAACACATGTACAACAACAGCGTCTCCAACGCGTCTATACGTTAACTATAACTGTCTTCCTTGCGACATATCAGCTCAACTAACCTTCATACAGTAACATCTAACCAACATCAGCGACATCATACTCATACAGAACATCAATAATCAACAGCTGACCATGCTGGAACAGTGTTCAAAAGATAATTCATAATTTACAGTAGCAGCCAACATGGTGGTATAGAGGTATAGAAGAAATTAAAAGGGACAAATACAGGGCATTAATGTTGACTATTGGTGTTTGGAAACAGATTTGGAGTTTTTGAGATTACTGTTTAAGAGATCATTTTCTGTGAGAAGGAAGTTAATTGTATCAAGAAAATACAACGCTAACAAGTGATCTAGAAAATTGTGACGCACGGGAAACATATGGGGAGGTATATCTTCTTCTTCAATAAATGCATTGGAAATATTTTTAGTTTGACTGGTATGAAACTCATCCAAATACACCTCAGATCTTGGTCTTCACTTATGTATCTATAAGAAATGGTATCTACATGGTGAACAAATTAAGGTAGTTTCCCTTTATGGGTATTTTTGACCCATGGAATCTTTTACTCCGAGGCGTATTTGGAGTAAGCACGGTTTTGTTTCAGTAGGGCTAATAAAGCACTAATTCCATTGTATCACTTTGTCCAAAATATTAGTCGCATGCCGTGTAAAAATCTGATTCATTCACTCTATTGCTGTTCCAATGTAAGCTCTGAGATCTGGGGTGTTAAAAATATTTTAAAATGTTGAAAACATACAAGTTGAACTTTATAAGTGGTTGTTACAAGTCCGTCGAAGAAGAGGGGGGAATGTGGGAGAACTCCACTTTTCCTGGTTTATATGACAATGTCCATGAAATCATGTTGCAGAACTTTCAATGCTGTCTGATGTTGAAAACACAAGATGATAGTGGTAACATTAACTGGGTCAGAGGTATTGTGAACATTCCCCCAAAAAATTATTTGATTTGATATCACAAGAAATTCGGGGTGCAAATATTCCTGTATCTCTGTTTAAGTAAAGACCTGGTTAAGAATTATCAAGTTTAATACAGTCTTGCATATTCCTTCATGTGCAATTATTATAAACAATTTAAGGCATTGTTAAATGTTGAATTCAACCTGACTGGTAATATTCTCATTAAGCTAAGATCTGCCTCATCGAGACTTTGTAAATTTATAGTCATAAACAAATTATATTTTACAACATTTGCTGTTATACTGAGTGGAGTGAAAAAACACATTTTCACGAGGAATATTATACGAGAGGCAAAGCTAAGAGTGAAAATACGACGTCAATTAGGTCATGAGTTGCCAGTTACATCATATTTCACAAGACACACGAAATAGTATATGCTTTCTTTTTTGTTTAATTGAATCTAAACATTGATAATCCGATGAAATGCAATTAACGAAATAAAAGAATACCTAAAGGGAAACTCAAGCGTGTTCATATATTTGTTCAGACATAGTTCCTTATTCGAAAATAAAATACAAATCGATACACCACATCTGCATCAGTTGCCATCTGTTTATGGATTGTCATTGTTGGAATAAGATCAGCTCCTATGATATTATCCAGCAAACGGTCAAGTTGGTCTTAGCATAAACGTCAAAACTGCGCACAACAGAAGATCCACAAACAAACTTGGTGGACCGAGAGAGAGGGAAGAGCGCGAAACTCGTGACTTCATATTAGTGACAGCTCCAGTGGAATGATTAAAATGTGACTTGACCATCAAGAAACATTAATGCTTTAATATTTATTGCCTACATATTCTATAATTGGCAAAAAACATCGAACGCACTCGCTAGTACACTGGTATGCATGTATGTTTTGTATTTGAAATGCTTTATTGCCCAACGAATGAGAGCAGAATGCTTTATACTGGTCAACCTTCACATACCCAAATAGAAAACACTGATATTGATTGAAAGTGATAAACGTGGAATCATGCAAGTAAATTAGTTTACTTATCCTGTCTAATGAAATATAATGTTATAATCTATGTTCGTCATGTTACATCATAGTTTGCCCATAGTAATTGCATATCACTCAACCACTCACTGACTGGACTCGGTATCACACGCAGCACTGTTAAAGTGCCTATTCAGTGTACAAAGCGTGACTTAAACGTAAGGAGAAATCAACATGCCCGTGAACGTGACCAACGAGAAGGATCGGCTTGCAGGCCACCCTGGTAAACGTGATACAGGAACTCATGTGCTTTATATATAGCAATGCAAAGACGTCTACATAGAAGCCTGCTTTTAAAACATGTGTTCGTTTTCAGATCTAGAGATGAAGAAATCGTATAAAATTCCGACGGCACACACTTTTACACAGTGGTGGGCGATGCTCACAGAAATTAAGATCGAGAAAATATGTTCACAACGTATATTGTTAGTAAACATCAGATAAGCTAGAAATACACTGGTAGATAGTACAATATAAATGAACGTGAATGGAGTCTCTACTAGGGAGTAGTGTTCGAAATATGAACAGGGAGTGCAAGTCGTCAATAATTCAGGGACATCTTCCTTTACAGCTAAAAACGCTCATCACTGTCACATCACAGAGGCAGAGAACCGTATATCTGTTCACGTAAGAACGCACGTGATTGAAATGGTCATGGAGGGAGATCAACTCGTCATATATAGTATGACCAGAAATTATTTAGAATTTTAGGAATATGTTTAATTGGATTTCTAGTATAAACAACCTTGACCAGCTATCCAGTGCTTGGTTCCATTCAAGAGAGACAACTCCGTTAATCATTTTTCATTAGTTAGTGAAGAGTTATCCCCCTTTGTTTACTTGATAGCAGACGACATTTTCAGTGATCCTCAGTATGGATGATTTAGAGAAGAGGAAGCTGATTTTAGAGTATTATAACAAGGACATCAGATCAGCTAAAGTGATTTCAAGTAGAACAGGCATCCCTTTGTCCACTGTTTACCGTGTTTTGAAAAATATTCGCATTGAGCACCAGGGAGGCGCAGGTAGGCCCAGAAAATTGACTGTCGGTGACAGGAGTCGGCTTGGTATGTTGTTTCTAAAAACAAATGAAGGAGTTTAGAAAACTTAAGGCTGGATATGATTGATAGAGGAACTGCGGCTGTCTGTAAGGAGACAATTAGAACTGAGCTGCATGCAATGAGTTGGCAGGAAAGTCGAGGAATTCCATCACCGATCATGAAACCTAAACAAAAGGAGCAAAGGTTGAACTGGTGGTTACAGCATAGAAATTTTAACTGGGACAATGTGATTTTCTCAGATGAAAGTTCTGTGTGGCTGTTTCCTAATACACTGAAATTCTGGACCAAAGAAACTTAAAAACCTTTGTATCAGCGCCCAAAGTACAGTCCGAAATTTAACGTGTGGGGTGGCATATCTGTGTTAGGGGCAACGCCCCTCTTTATATTTGAAGGGAATATGAACAGTGAACGGTACACAGATATTCTCGAGGGACATTTACTTCCATCTCCTCACGTGTTCTGTGGAAATGTTTGGATTTACCAGCAGGACAACGACCCAAAACATCGTTCAAAGCATTCACAGGCCTGGTTTCGGACCCAAAAAATGGCATTATTAGATTGGCCAAGCTATAGCCCTGACCTAAATCCAATAGAAAATGTTTGGGGACTTTTGAAGGAAAGTGTCAATAAGAAAAATCGGACAAATATTGCTGAAATGAAAGAAGAGGTGTTCCGATATTGGGACAGCATGGACCACGACTTTCTAATTTCTTTGATCAGAAGTATGCCCCGCCGCATTGAAGCCTGCATTGCTGCCCATGGTGACTTGACAAAATACTAACAGTTCATCTGTCTTTGAATCTGGAGTTGTGTTCTGCTAATATTCACATTTAATACGTGAGTAATGAGTGAAAAAAAATAATACAATCTTAAATTCTCAATAGTTTCTGGTTGTACTGTGAACGCACTATATAAGAGTACTACTCTTGAACCTGGGTTTTAAGTCCATTTCCACTTCTAATTGCCACTGATCGGCTTCATGATCTGAAAGTAGATGTATCTGAACAATTTCCAAATCCGCCAATTTAGCCCGTGAAGGTCGTTGACAGAAGACACAGATCCTCATCAAATAATTTCCCAACTCCTTTCAATCAATGATAACGCCTTTGTTGTTTGAAGTAACAACATTGGCGACTCGTTAATAAGTGCATATCTTCAACCAAATTACTTGACAATTACTGATAAAGACAGGTATTGCAGCAATGTTCTATAACATTATTTTCTTTCATGTAGATCAACAATTTTGCGCAAATGTCAGACGTACGCGTTTCCATACTTGTACAGGTATTCTGAAATGTTTTAAACATGATCTTGGTCATCTACAGATAATGATGCTTTGGCAGTCATTGCCAGTATATAGAATGATCTGAAAAAACACAGTACATCGATATGCATGTATGCATTGTACTTGAAATGCTTCCATCACTGACGAGTGAGAGGCAAAAGCTTTTAATTGATCAAATATCACACAGAGGGATGAAAGACAGACATTTTAAGTACATTAGTAACAATCACATTAACTACATTACTTTATTTATCCTGTACAAACAAAAAACAAAATGGATATTTGTAGGGTATAAGTTCAAAGTGTAGACCATAGGAATTTCATTTCGTGCAGGACTGACCAGCCACAGACACAGCTAGTCTGCCATGCATATTTCTGCCCCAGTTCTAACTGTACTGGTGGTGATCATGAATCTTCCATTGAGTGTCACCATCATAAGAGAGATACATCAAGACCTGAGACGCAAACTACTATCAAACTATTCGCCCGAGATTTTACCTACCACCAAAGACTTCAAATTTCTCAACATATCTCTGACATTTCAGCCATTTTCCATAATGGGACTTGATTTTGCTAACTCAGCTGTGACTTTTATCTGCATTATTTCAATCAGACTGGGAGGATCCTCATTTGACATGGAATACGGAAAACTACGGTGGTGTTTCAATGATTATTCTCTCTCCATCCGATATCTGGACGCCAAAGCCACTCATACCCAACAGTGTAGATTCGAGGTCACTTCTTGAAGGTGATACTTCTTTGGCGGTGTTGAATGACGGACGTGTTTCCCAAACATTTGTTAGTACGTATGAAACTACTTGCAAAGTTGACAGCACCATGTTTCCCTTTGATAGTCAGAGATGTCAGATGATTATTTTAGCTCCTTCATTGTGCCACGTTATACCATCTGTATCGATGTATATGTCTACTTGGATAGAAACCTCGTCCGAATGGATACTTGTGAACACATCATCAGAAGAAAGCTCTGGCGTAGTATTTTTCACGCTGCACATGCATCGTCAGTCAACTTTCTACGTGACCACTATTTTGTTTCCCATGTGTCTGTTGTCTCTCCTGAACGTCTGTTCATTCCTTCTGCCCATCGACTCAGGAGAAAGGATGTCCTATCTCATCTCTATATGCATGTCTTATTCTGTGTTTCTGGTCTTCATCATCGATCTGATGCCCAAGTCGGGAACCCTGTCAAGAATGGCCGTGTATCTGATCTTAGTTCTCACTCAAAGTTGTCTTGCCATCATAACCACACTGGTCGTCATCAACAAGGGCAGCTGTATCAAAATAGGATCTTGTTTTTGCCACAGAAAAGTAACTAGTGTTACCAACACATCTCAGACCACAAGTGACATTTCTGGTACTCGTACTTTGGACATGATGTTCTTCGTGTTTTTCCTTCTGTGGTGGGGTCTCAGCATTCTGGTTTTCTTTGTTTAGACACAGAACATCAAGGTGTTCCGAGCAGATTGTTTCATACCGTCCAATTCGAGTCGTGACATCAAGTGATCCTGGCGGCATAGCTAAACAAACAAACCTGTTAAGATATGTCATTGTTTAGTCTAATATAGTCTATCAATATGGACAAACGATTCAAGACACTGTGTATATGTATGTCAGTGACAAAACCACCAAAAGGAAGTATTTCTCAACAATTATGTTCCCGTACTTTTCAATATATATTTTTCTCAGAAAGCATACATTATTGCCAAGTCTCAGTGGTTGCAACTTTTTTGTCAGACACTTGTTTTCATAAATGACAACGTTTCGGAAACGTTCAATCAAATGACTCGTGTGTGTTAACTAATATTCTGAAACCACATGTGACAGTTATGAACTGTCGATTATAACGGTATCCTGATATGCATGCGATATGGGCCAAGAAGTAATTTCGAAGCTCTCTTTGCGCTAAGATAGTCGTAAGTGCCAAGCATTAACATTAACTTACGACTATCTTAGCGCTAAGAGAGCTTCAAAAATCTAGGTCATGGTTATGAAAGTATGAATCGTAACTGATTAGAAGGCAAGACACAAACGTATACGAAATATAATCAAACGCAACTGTATTCCAGTTGTACACCTTGTGTCTCTTTTGTTGTAGTGATTTCTAAGAACTTTGAACAGAGGAACCTTTCTTGGTCAGAGATACTTCACAGCCTCATGTAAACACTAGTTAGGATCACACACGTCCAAGCGACTGGTTTGGGAGAAGATACTTGTGATGAAGGAAAATCTCACAGGGGATATATGTGCTTGTTTCTGTGACGTGTCACCAAACTGATGGAATAAGGAATTCCTAATGCCTTAACAAGTCAGGGAGTCATGTAAACTGTACGACATGTCATGTGTTCTTTTGTCCTTGTATTTAGATATATAAAATGTTTTAAGCTACGTTTGAGCATTGGAAGCTATTATTGCCTGCTGTAAGCTGTGGGTGTGTGTCGAAGCTTCTTTTGGAAGATGTAAAGTAACAATTGAGAAGTGTAATCATGTTTTGTCAGTTGCTAGTGAGTATTGTCAAACAATAAACTTTTGAAGAAAGTAAGGGGATTGCATTAATCGTTATGCGTATTTTTACATGAGATGTGTTTCTGCATTTTACAGTCAAAATGTTAAGACGTTACATATGAGTTGTAGAGTTGGACAAGCAGCAGACACTTCAAGTATATGACGTTGACGAAAGAGAATACCAAGCTTCTGTTACTTCATAGCAATGGAGGGGCGGTGGGGTAGCCTAGTGGTTAAAGCGAAGACCCGGGCTCGATTCCCCATATGGGTCTAATGTTTGAAGCCCATTTCTGGTGTCCCCCGCCCTGATTATGCTGGAATATTGCTGGAAGCGGCGTTAAACCATACTCACTCACTCACTCGCCCACACTTAGCAATGGACATTTCAATGATTGTGAGATATAATTTCCTTATCTGATTCTGAACTTTCTCTGCAAATTAGTGATTGATGGTCATGGTGTCTTTTCTACGCTAACAGTGTTTCTTCGTAACCATGCTTGATGTTGCAATAAAAGGTTAAATGATCTGTGTTTTGTTTCTCGCTCTGAAATTCACTGTAGTTGAGCAGTCTACACTACATTTTATAATTTACTTCTTGAACACATGGCTTTGCATAAAAGGTCTAAGAACTGCATCGGAATGGGGGTATAATATATAACATTGAGCCAATAATGTTCACTGTATTTGGAAAACAAATCTTTCAGCACCTCCTTTTGTGTGGCGGGTTCCGGGTTCGATACCCCACATGGGTACACTGTGTGAAGCCTATTTCCGGTGCCCCCGACCGTGATGTTGCTGGAATATTGCTACAAGCGTAAAACCATACTCACTCACATGGAGATTTCAGGACATTTGATGTATGTTCTCAGATGTTACTCAACGTTTAAAGATTTTCCTCTGATAAATTGATTGAATGAGTTAACATTTTGCACCGATATAGCAATGAGAAAAAGTTAGTTATTAAATGCCTGTTTACGACAGGCAATAAAATAAAGTAAGATAGTTATTACTGTTCAAGTTTAAAAGAATCCACGTCACTATTTAAACAGAAGATTTAGGACAAATTAGAACTTTTCTTTAGACCACAAGCAACTAAAGCAAGAACGCCTCACTGTGCATCATGGGAACTTACGTTTCATTACGATTTCCCTGGCACGATCTGCGCCATCACTTTGGTCTCTTGTGAGTGAGTCTACTTTTAGCAGTATTCCTTAAATATCATGACGGGGGACACCAGAAATGGTCTTCACACATTTTACCCCTGTGAGGAATCGTACCCGGGTCTTCGGCGTGACGAGCGAACGCTTTAACCATGAGGCTACCCATCACCCCCTTTACTTGTATATAGAATAGAAATCTCTGCTAAAACAGAATCGAAAGAACAATGAAAATCGAGTCTGGATCAGACAATCCAGTGATTGTCACCATGCGATACGATGACAGCACTTGTCTATGAATCACTATGAATTAGTGATGATACCAGGTGTTCGCAAAGCGGTGAGCGACGTATCCTGCCCCACCTATGGCACTCATTGTAAACATGTGCTAAGTCTAGTCAATTATTCAAATGAAATAATTCGGGAACGTAAGTCAGTCAATAGTAGTATGGTACAATCAATAGTCAAAAATAACACATTAACTATGAATTACAATACTGGTTGATTGTATTAAATTTGATTAAGATGTACTCAATGATTGTATGGAACCGCTTGAGTGGCACCGCTGTCTATAATCTCACACTAAGTTAAAACACCATTCAAATTTCAAAAGTTTTCAAACAATTTCATTTCTTTTGAAAAACCCAAGAATTAAATGAGCATTACATTCGTAAAACGATTTTAAGATGATGAATGATAATGGATAAACGTGCTTCACTGTGATTCTCCAATCACAAGGACACAGAATGGAGGATCCTCACTTTTTAACAAATAATAACCAAAAGTAAACTGCACATGGCCAATTGGAAATAGTCGTATTTGGTCCTGTCTTGACTGACAACCCCAGTAAGTATAACCTAAAATTTGTTTATACCCACTCGGATGTTCCACTTTCTTTGCATTAAATAACGAATACACAGGTTTATCAAGAACGGCTTTTGCTACAGTATCAGCCTTTGTGTCACCAGCTGACTTGGTAACCAACACAAGACGTTCTCAACTGGACAGTGCAGTTCTAAAACAGGTGATAAATTGCTTATGCTGAGATTGGTGCTGAATGTATTCCCAGACTATTTGGATAGCCGGGATTTAAGCAGTGAAACTATTATCAGGAATCCTGGATATAATTTCAGATCCAACGACAGTGGTTTTTGACACCTTGGTACCATCCTTGGACCCATCTGTTACAATTGAATGATAGGTATCATACATATTTCGTAATAGTATATTCCTGTTGATATATTAGTCGATATGTGTCAGATGTATTTAACTAAGCGATGGAAAGATCTACTTCAGGCCTTACTAATTACCAGGGAGGAGTCGACAGAACCCGGTATGAAGATATCATATTGAAGTCGATATTACTTTCTGTAATATGAGGTTCGATCCAAATTGCAGGTGGTGGTTGAGGAGGAGTCGACAGAACCCGGTATGGAGATATCATATTGAAGTCGATATTACTTTCTCTAATATGAGGTTCGATCAAATTGCAGGTGGTGGTAGAGGAGGAGTCGACAGAATCCGGTATGGATATATCATATTGAAGTCGACATTACTTTCTCTAATATGAGGTTCGATCCAAATTGCAGGTGGTGGTAGACCGATTAAGTACATTTAAAGTTATCTAATAACAAACTGACGTCAATATGATAATTACTTTCCCTCTCTCGGGATATAAGTTATCCCTTGTGACATCGTTTTTTCATTATTGTCCAACGTTGTTCATATATAATTTATTGATCAGGTGAAATATTTTTACACTTGTTGAATAAAGGAATATTATTACTAAAGGAGAAATACGTCAACCATCCCTTACGTAGTCGGTTCTTTTGACGTGCACCTGGACATGCACCTGTTTTGAGGAGGGTGTTGGGCAATAAGAATAACAATAAGAAATTGCGTCCGATTAATGCGACGTTTGTATGTTCGGGCATGGACTCTGAAAGTCTAGTTTAATAATGAACCACGATTTCTACGATCGTCTATTGCGTTTACAATCGAAACAACAGATCGGCAGATTCAATGGCGGAAGCTGGACGGTGTGGGAACAATATCCCACAAACGGTGATCTCACTTGGTGATGGTTTATGGGAAGCTCGCTGCTAGTCGGTACATCGACCATATCATCTTCTTCCGATAAGCAACCAACGGAGGGAGGTGACCCAAGCAAGTCAAAACATTGATTACACAACAGTCTCGTTTCCTATTGACTGGGTCCCGTCCTATTGCGCAACTTAGTACAATGACTTATCCAGAATTTTGGGACCAATGCATTTAACTGGAAACACAATTATTAATCAGTAGTATTTGATACTTCTAAGCACTTGTATATTGCAACACTACGCTCCTTCTAATGCTTGCAAACACGTCGTACAGCGTGCTCTGTCGTACAGCGAGCTCTGACAAACGAAAACCTGGAAAACGTGGAAATCTCAAAACGATGCTCTCCCGCTAGAAAAGTTTGTCGGTCTGGTACGGATTATATATTATATCAATCACATTATGCGTTACAGAACTACAATAAATAAGCGCAAATAAACACATAACAGGTGTAACTAGTGTGCCAGATGCATTGTCAATCATTTTACGACCTCATCAAACAGGGACAGTCTGTGACGTCATAGTTAAGGTCATGCTGCCGACACCTCGCCTTAAAATATAGAAATACGATGTTATTAAAGTTTAAGTGGTAAATACCATTTTCTTATGAAACAAGGTATTGGAATTCAGTGTAACCAAAGTAGGTCACTGTCTGAATAGGTTAATGAGACTGATGTTTCGGTTTGTGACAAAGCAATACCACGGACGGGTCATGTCTGTCGCTGTTGACTTCCTTCATACTTTAAGCATCAATGCCTTCCACATCTCCAGATTTATACGAAGGAATGCACCTGTGAAATGATCTCCACAATAATATAAATGTACGTTAAAATCTACATATGGCAACATACTCTCCAATACATTGTGGGAGGAATGCAGGGAAATTCCAACGGAAAGAAACAGTTCTCTTCACTCTATGCCAAGACGTTTTTGAGTAATGACACCAGCTCATACCAGGTGCTGATCAGAATGCCATCCTCCTACCCACTACCCCCAACCTCCCCGTGGTGAGCATGTAATCTACAATGCAGTGCGTAATAACCAATATCTACTTTGCTAACTCTGCTGTAACATTTTCTGCATTACTTCAGTCAGAGCCTACTGGGTCGGTGACACTCCTACAAAGAGGCGTACACCATCCCGTATTACCCTCGAGAGAAGCATACAACGAAGTTATCTTACCGTCATGTGAAATGTACAAAATATCATTTTATGGTCATGTTAATGGTCATAGTGACTCCAGCCGTTTAACAATACATTAAAACTTTACAAACAAAAGTAAGTAGTAGTCTAGAACTATTCCCACGAGATATCTGTTTCAAATAAAGATTTATAACTCAATTAGATTTACAACAAATGTCTGAACTTATATGCCACTTTAATCCTGTCATGGATTCGTGTGCATTCATGCACGGAATCAGGAAACTGATAAATTAGTTGGAATATATTGCTTGTGTCACGCACGTCACTGAAAATTGACGTGTGTCAACCGTTGAGCTATTGGAGTCTATGCTGACTGCCTAAAGCAAAATGGAAGCAAATACGTATGTTTCTTTCTTGAAGTAATATCTCAGAGGTAGGGTGAGCTACCTATGGTTTGGCAATGTTTGTCGAGTTAATGGAATATGATGTATATCAGTGTGGTGTTGTTAGTAAGTGAGTTAAAATATACGTTCACACAGAAACGTTTCACATACATCGTGATGAGATTAAATTTATATTGGCACTCACACTAAAAACCCTGCAAAGTACAATAACTAGACGGTAAAAACAGTTTAGTTAAAGCGACCTTGACAGCATAGAAAAGGATATACTATCACTGAATAACACACTATAAACACGGACTATAAATCACCACAGAACATCGTTAGCTCTCCATACCTGGGCCATGGGTACCTTTGAAACTACTTCCGCATGGCTCCCTGGTTACCTGGGGAGTGTACACGTTTTTGCCAATAATAAAAAATTAACACATATACTGCTATTGAAACCATGCTAGGTATAACTTATTAGGGTACACTATTTTCAACCCCCGTCCAGAGCACAGCCACAAATAATATCATTCAGTTTACACAGTTAGTTTATAACAAGTAACATTGTTCATTAAATTGTACCAACAGGACGACTCTTCAGTCCCTTTTCCCGTATTGTTTAAATCGTGCTTGATTGATTCGATTCTGAATTGACATTTTTTATGACATATAGTGAGAGGACTTAAACGTTTCAATTTGATAGTCAGAGGTTCACCATCTGGTGAATATCAGTCCTCATTGCTTAATACCAATTCATATGAGTGGACCACAGTAATGTCCTGATATCTTAAGGGGCGGTGGGGGGTAGCCTAAGTGGTTAAAGCGTTCGCTCGTCATACCGAAGACCCGGGTTCGATTCCCCACATGGGTACAATGTGTGAAGCCCATTTCTGGTGTCCCCGCCGTGATATTGCTGGAATATTGCTAAAGCGGCGTAAAACTAAACTCACTCATCTCACCCTGATATCTTGAACAATTACCAATAACTATTAGCAAATTATATGATGTGCATCCGCTTTAAATAACTGATGGAACCGATGTGTAACATCCGATTGTTCTGGGACTGGATGATTAAATTAAGGTACTGTATATGTACCGTTTGAATGTGGATTTAACTAACGGGAAGCTTTGATATGAAATCTTTTCAGGACAGCAAACAAAGGATATTTGATTTGATTGTGATCATGTCTTCCTCTTTTAAGTGATTCCGACCTAATCAGAAGACTGTGTAAATAGTGTTCCTTTGCACAAGTCTTCCGAGATGATGTCTAAATGATGCTTAAAGCGATGGTGATCTATGAGACACAAACAAGGTATAGAATGAAAAGTAGTACAGAATTATATATCCATTATTGCTTAATGCATGTATGTTCTTGATTCTAATTGCCAATTAAAGACATTTTGTTCTAGTCAGCAAACATAGAAAGAGGTAATCGTGATATATAAAACACCTAATTGCAGTCAGTAGCATACCATGATGTAATTCCATGTTCCTTGTTACATCAGTTAATACAAGCGTAAGTTGAGTCTAATAGTAGAGTCTTACTGTTGGAGGGAACAGAATGCAAGAAGATACGTAAATGGGAGGTATATATGGATGTAATTTTCCATCTTAGTTACAGCGTCCGATTGTCAAAGACCCGGTTCGAGTTCAATGTGTGAAGCACATTTCTGTTGTTCCATTCCATGATATTGCTTCTTTCTTTTTGTTTCCGCTAATGTGGTGTGACAGCAAAGCATTTCATCAAGTGTGTGTTTCAGTTGTTTTCAAGAAAACCTCGCTACTACACAGAACATCTCAGCCCCTGTCATGGATTCGCGTTAATTCGTGCCCACATTTGAAGGCATTAAAATGTAGATTAGGTGGCACAGTTTGTTGGTTTTGGAAAGCGAACGATTGATTTAGTTTCGTGAATGAACCGATGATGTATTGAAATTTAAGTCGCCTGACAAAAGCCTGCTTGAACCAAATACGTTTCCTTTTAAGTATGATGGCGGAAGTAGATAGGGCGGTGTGGTAAGCAAGTAGGTATAGCCTGTAGTGACATAATTCATTCACACATTCGAATCATGTCCGACTTCGTTTTGCATTACATCTTTGTGTAACATCTTATAACAGGTGAAATATCAATATATGACTTCACATTGAGATTAGCTGCAGTACTGAGGAATGCCTTAAGTAAAGCGTGTCTAGGGCAATAACAGTAAGTACTTGATATCTGTTGAATGTATATCTTACAAATCGAAAAAAGCAAGCATTCACCGGAAGCATGATATGTATAAATGTATTGTACATTCTGCATGGTCATGTTTCAAAATCCTAAAAGACTCATGAGCTACAATCAAATGCTTTTCACTGATTAAACATGACACTGTAGAAGTTAAAAAGATTGCTTGTGAAGCCCAATCAATTGGATAGCCTGACATCATAGTGTTAACAACAGTAAATGCATTTCGACAAACCGACAGTTAAATTAATGCGCACAGCAGTGACATCTCACATCGTCTTGTTTTAAAATCGTAGCTACGATCAAATGCTTTTACTGATAAAACATGACGGCCGGATATAACTTTCGCTTCATATTGAGGAATGGTCCATTACCTTCAGCATTTGATATACCACGCTTCAGGACGTTTGTGGAATATTCTAAAGATCCTTCCACGTAGAGTTCAAATCGTCATTTTACTTCATCCCAGCAAATAAACAGTAGAAATGAAAAATTAGTTTAGGACTGACGTCATGATGCTGTTTACATACCACTTTTTTGGGATAAAAGTATTCTTGGTATATCGGCATTTACTTATTGTCAAACAAATGAGCGCATCTGCATAAAACTTGTGATCAGTAAATACGTTGTTGAGATAATGGAACCAGAATGGGCTAATGAGAACAAATACATTTCGATCATACTATCAACTAAAGCTATTAGGTGGGTAATAAAAGAGACAACAAGATTACATGTCTCCAATCAGTCAATGAGTCAATTAATGTTTATCAAAAAACAGGAAAAAACATCTTTGTACATGGATGCAAACATAACTGCCTGGTTGTAGGGTTCCTGTTTTGTTGCTCTATATTTTAGAACAAACGCCAGCCTGGAGGTGTTGTTGTTGATATCAATTTCCATCGTCGTTGATGGGTCGCCCAACCTGGGTGCTCCACGAATGCCAGTAACAAGGACTTTCACTGAATTTGACATGTGACACGAACACGTTAGTCTCTTATCATTGGGCAACCGACGTGTTTCTTCACAAATTGGTTTTGGATATTATTTACCAAGCTCAATATATTTTCCTGGTGAAATTAGTAAAAGCTTTTAAAGTGAATGTACGTCCCTGCGTTCAAGTCAATGATGCGAAAATTCGACATAGGACATGCAGCAACAACACTTGCATTTCCCAAACAAGTGTCAGTAATAACAGGCATAGAACTACTGCAGTGTTTCAACAGATAAAATGGAAAGTCACCAGCTGTGATCATCAAAGCGTGTGTTTGAGTGAAGGAAGCTTTCGTTTGCCAGCAGGTACCCTAATAAAGTGTGTGTGTGTGTGTGTGTGTGTGTGTGTGTGTGTGTGTGTGTGTGTGTGTGTGATATGAAAACTATGAATACACCACAAACAAGACTTTAATTGTCTACGCCCGAAAATCGTGACAAAAAGAAAGTGCTATAATCTGTTGTTTGAACATGTAAATGACAAGATGTATTGGGTACCATAGGTTTTAAACACCATAATATAAATTGGGTTGGGCTTTGCACTGAAAAATAATCTGTTTCTTTGAATTTGTTTCAATATATGTTCAGGAACAAAATTGTCATGCATGCAAGAATGCCAATATTGCTGACTTGTGTATCCGTATTTTAACTGAAATTATGTGTTAAACATTATCTTCTGAATACAGATGTTAAATGTTGTCCTACACTCTCCCGCAACTGAATACCCGTGCATTCTCACATATTATATATCATAATATCACAACAGACCCCAGGTCTTTTCGAAAAAGAATACCATTTATGTTAAGTTGTAAAACATATCACCCGTGAAAATCAGGGTTAGAATTCCTCTTCAGAAACCGATGAATGATAAAATGTATTTGTATTATATTGATTAACAGCAATTAACGTGGGGTCGTTCAAGTTAATTAGTTTACTTATTATGTGTACGGGATATTGACAATATAAGTTCGTCACATGACATCATATTGATGACCGTAGCCATTGCATTTCCATACAACCTGTAGTCAAATCAGTCGCTCAGGAGGGGCAAGCCACACACAGCTTGTCTGCCATGCATATTTCTGCCCCAGTCGTAACTATACTTGTAGTGATCATGAATCTCCCATTGAGTGTCACCATCAACAGATCAGCGCACCAACACCTAAGAAGCAAACTACTCACGAACTATACACCAGAGATATTACCTACGTCCAAAGATTTCGATCTTCTCAACATAACGCTGACATTTCAGCCATTTTCCGTTCTGGGACTTGACTTCGCTAACTCTGTTGTGACATTTTCTGCATTTGTTGGGTCAGTCTGGATGGATCCTGATTTGGCATTGGATACTGACAACTACGATGGTCTTGAAATGATTATTCCCTCCCCAACCGATATCTGGACACCAAAGCCAATCATACTCAACAGTGTTGATTCGAGATCACTTCTTGAAGGTGATACTTCTTTGGTGGTGTTTAATGACGGACAAGTTACCCAGAAATTTGTGAGTACCTATCAAACTACTTGCAAAGTCGACAGCACACTGTTTCCATTTGATAACCAGACGTGTCATATGAATATTTTACCTCCTGTTTTGTGCCATGTTTTACCACAAGCCCTGATGTCTATGTTTACTTGGATAGAAACGCCATCTGAGTGGCACATTGTAAACACATCATCGGAAATGATGCCAAATGCAATGTTCCTTACGCTGCACATGCAACGTCAGTCATCTTTCTACGTGACCACCATTTTGTTTCCCATGTGTCTGTTGTCTCTCCTGAACGCTTGTTCATTCCTACTGCCAAACCACTCAGGAGAAAGGATATCGTACCTCATTTCCATATGTATGGGTTATTCTGTGTTTCTGGTCTTCATCATTGATGTGATGCCCAAGTCTGGATCCCTGTCAAGAATGGCCGTGTATCTCATCCTAGTTCTCACTCAGAGTTGTCTTTCCATCATAACCACACTGGTCATCAGCAAGAAGTGCTGCTGTATAAAAACAACAATATCAAACATCAGTTCTGACACAGCCCAGACAACAAATGACACTACTGGTACACATACTTTAGACATGATGTTCTTCATATTTTTCCTCCTGTGGTGGGCTCTCAGCATTCTAATTTTCTTTGTATAAATAGAACATCAAGCACTGAAGACGCAGGATCAAGTCGGACCTAAAAGAACGTTCCTAAAAGAACATTTCACTCAGTCATCATCGTGTAGTGGCATAAAGACATGTTTATGGTATTGCCAAACAAACCTGACATATTACGTGGGACAATGTCATGTCCATATACAGCAAGATACTTAAGGTAACTTAATGCCTTCCACAATATGTAATTGCACAATTTCCCCAGCTTTATATATTGTACATTATCTAACTGTTGTACGCTTACTACAATTGTCTTCAGAAATAACATGTTTATATGCATTTCATCACAACCTCATTAAAACACTGGTTACAATTCTACTCACTGAAGATACCTTTTCAAGACGAACCCGTGAAGATCCGGGTTAGAATTTATCTTCAGTACCCCATGCTTGTCGTACGAGGCGGCTAACGGGAGTGGACAGCTCCACTAACTTGGTTGATACATGTCATCGTATCCCAATTGCGTAATTGGATGCTGTTTATTTCTGGATTGTCTGGTCCAGACTCAATTATTTACAGACCGCCGCCATGTCGCTGGAATATTACTGAGCGCGGCGTAACACTACACTCACTCACTTTTTAGACTTTTTTATACCGCTCAAATTGCCAGTGGAGCACAGATACCTGTGACTGTACTTTGCCTCCAAATTGTAATATAAGAGTTATCAGGTGAGGTAAAAATCGTAAATCAAATACTTTATAAAGCATGTAAAAAGTTTCTAAAGTCAACATTTATAGACAAAACATTAAACAAACTACTTGTGTTCCGGAAACTACCGATAGTTAATGAACATCAAGTGACCTTACGTCCTAGTGTATAGTTGACTCACTGCTTCAGTACTGTGTTTTGTAGATACCTAGCGTTCGCCATGGCCTCATCTGATAGTAACGTAACACTAGCATAAATATTGAATTTTCGCACAATGACCTTACATATTCGCACACATTAATATTAGGTGTAAATAGATTTTGACAGCAGCACAGAACGTGAAGAAGATCTGTCAAGTGAAGACGATCATTCAGATCACTACGGAAAGACACAAATTTGTAATTTGCAACGTATACCATTCATTTTCGATTTCCAAATTTATTTAGGCTATATGTTATAATTTTGTTAATTACTTCCAACACAAATAATCTTCGACGAAAGTTATAAAACGATTGCGAGCTTTCTTCACACATGTATTTATGTATATTAGATGCGACAGTGGAGTGTGTGTACCTATGCCTACATAGAAATTAATTCATGAATTGAGCATGTGTTTATATATTTTTATGTAAGCATATACATATACTGATGAATAGTAGATCTAGGAGTGTTAAAATATAAACATGGTAATGTTTAGACGCTACCCTCGCTTTTCTTTAAAAAATGATAATACTTATTTATGGTTTTCCCTCGACAATTATTCTTATGTAAATTGTGCAAGATGTAAATTGAAGCTTATTGTCAACGAATATTGCTTGTAACCAAACAATTGTTTTCTATACAAATGAATGTTATGCATTAATTGTACGTTGTTTATTGTGTCTAATGATGGTTTGTTCAGTTATCACAGTCGTGTAACATTTGTTGTAGCATGTAGTTTACCGATAAATCTTCGTGGCTGGTATTTAGCTTACAATAAGTATTTCCATGATCTTGACCAAAACATCCATCATTCTATCAGTGACTACCTTATATTTCACACGCAAACAAAACATAACAAAACACACACACCCATCAACGAAGAAAGAAATACACAGAAAAATTATTGAAATAATTGAAATATAACTGACAATATTGATCTTAAATATACCAATCACAATATATTTCACCGAAAGAATGACGCTGTTTTCTTATTATCTACCTCTATAACAGATTTTTCGCTTGAAAGTAGATCCGCTTCCAACCGAGAACTAATGATCGATGATAAACATACGTCCAGTGAGACAATGTTCATCCAATAAAAGTGACACACACTATTTCCTCCCTTGTCATTTATCTGTCAAAAAGTAGTTCCCGAGGCAAAAACTTATAGAACAATATCTTCTTCTTTTTTTCCTTGTCTAGCACTTCTTTATTTACAGGATTTCTGTTGCCATCACTTTTTAGATGTGTATGTTATGTACGTTCTTGTGAGTATTTACCTTTTATAATATAATTGCTATATCCGAATTTTCCTTCTTGCTAAATTTGTCTTCAGGCTTGAAATTTAGAAGAAATGACTCTTGGTACCTTTTCGGGTGGACTAGGACACCCCCACGAAACCAGGACTAACGGGAAATCACTCCAGTGTTATGTACATGAATGCACTGTAAACAAAGATGGAACGACAGGCTGCTTACCACTGTGACGTGACAGCATCATGCCATGTATTGGTAAATTACAAATCAAGTTACATGTGTTCGCAGAAAAGGCGAAGGAGCCATTCAACCGTTGGTATATAATGAGAAAAAAAATGAAAAATGTGGCCTGTCCCGATCTTTACGGGCTTGACGAAACTCTCTCGTGATTTCTTGAGGAAATAAATAATATCTCTCTCTCTCTCTTTACTTTTCCTGTTTAATTAAAGAGACATTTACAATATATGTTCGTCATCTAACATCATAGAGTTGTCATATACAGAAATTCAAATCGACGCTTGTTCACGTATATTATTAGCAAACAAGAGATAAGCTAGAAATACACTGGTAGATAGTACAATATAAATGAAATGTGGATCTAGTCTGTCACAGATAAGACGCTCTACTGGGGAGTAGTGTTCGAAATATGAAGAGGGAGTGCAAGTCGTCAATAATTGAACGGCATGTTCCTTCACAGCTGAAAACATTCATCACTGTCACACCACAGAGGCAGAGAACCGTATATCTGTTCAGGTAAGAACCCATGTGATTAAAATGGTCATGGTGGGAGATCAACTCGACATATGCTTATGTGATCAGTACAATTACCGTTAAGCAAAAACTGACATCAGCCAATAGGCTTTTAGAATTGTGTGAGTATTGTGTATTTCATTGTGATTGACGCGGTATCAGAGAACACATTCTCGTCAGTTATAGCAATTGCCGAGGAAACAACTACAGGCATAGTAAATCAAACACGTGAATACACTATATAAGAGTCCTACTCTTGAGTCTGGCTTTAGGCTTTTAGCCACTGACCGGCTTCATGACCTGAAAATACATGTACCTGAACAATTTCCAATTCCGCCAGATTTAAAGCCAATTTTGCCCGTGAAGCTCGTTGAAAGAAGACACAGATCCTCATCAAATAATTTCCCAACTCCTTTCAATCAATGATAACGCCTTTGTTGTTTGAAATGACAACACTGACGACTCGTTAACTGGTGCATATCTTCAACCATAGTGCTAGAGAATTATTGATAAAGACAGGTATTGCAACAGTGTTCTATAACGTTATTTTCTTTCATGCAGATCAACATGTTTGCGCAAATGTCAAACGTACGTCTTTCCATACTTGTATAGGTATTTTAAAATGCTTTAAACATGACCATGGCCATCTATAGATAATGATGCTTTGGCATTCATTGCCAGTATGCAGAATGATTTGAAAAAACACAGTACATCGATATGCATGTATGCATTGTACTTGAAATGCTTCAATCACGGACCAATGAGAGGAACAGGCTTTTAATTGATCAAATATCACACAGCAGGATGAAAAACACCGATATTTTAAGTACATTTCTAACATCACATAAACTACATTACTTCATTTGTCCTGTACAAACAAAATGGATATTTGTAGGGTATAAGTTCGAAGTGTAGACCTTAGGAATTTCATTTCGTGCAGGACTGACAAGCCACAGACACAGCTAGTCCGCCATGTATATTTCTGCCCCAGTTCTAACTGTACTGGTGGTGATCATGAATCTTCCATTGAGTGTCACCATCATAAGAGAGATACATCAAGACCTGAGATGCAAACTACTATCAAACTATTCGCCCGAGATTTTACCTACCACCAAAGACTTCAAGTTTCTCAACATATCTCTGACATTTCAGCCACTTTCCATTATGGGACTTGATTTTGCTAACTCTGCTGTGACATTTTCTGCATTATTTCAATCAGATTGGGAGGATCCTCATTTGACATGGAATACGGAAAACTACGATGGTGTTTCAATGATTATTCTCTTTCCATCCGATATCTGGACGCCTAAGCCACTCATACCCAACAGTGTAGATTCGAGGTCACTTCTTCAAGGGGATACTCCTTTGGCAGTGTTTAATGACGGACGTGTTTCCCAAAAATTTGTAGGTACGTATGAAACTACTTGCAAAGTTGACAGCACCATGTTTCCCTTTGATAGTCAGACATGTCAGATGATTATTTTAGCTCCTTCATTGTGCCACGTTATACCATCTGTATCGATGGTTATGTCTACTTGGATAGAAACTTCGTCTGAATGGCACATTGTAAATGCATCATCGGAAACAAACTTTGGAGCAGTATTCTTCACGCTACACATGCATAGACAGTCAACTTTCTACGTGACCACCATTTTGTTTCCCATGTGTCTGTTGTCTCTCCTGAACGCCTGTTCATTCCTTCTGCCCATTGACTCAGGAGAAAGGATGTCGTACCTCATCTCCATATGTATGTCTTATTCTGTGTTTCTGGTCTTCATCATCGATGTGATGCCCAAGTCGGGATCCCTGTCAAGAATGGCCGTGTATCTGATCTTAGTTCTCACTCAGAGTTGTCTTGCCATCATTACGACACTAGTTGTCATCAACAAGGGCAGCTGTATCAAAAAAGGATCTTGTTTTCGCCACAGAAAAGTAACAACTGCCTGTCCCAACACATCTCAGACCACAACTGACATTTCTGGTACACATACTTTGGACATGATGTTCTTCGTGTTTTTCCTTCTGTGGTGGGGTCTCAGCATTCTGGTTTTCTTTGTTTAGACATAGAACATAAAGATGTTCCGGGCAGAATGTTTCCTGCCGTCCAATTCGAGTCGTGACATCAAGTGATCCTGGCGGCATAGCTAAACAAACAAACCTGTTAGGATATGTCATTGTATAGTCTAATACAGTCTATCAATATGGACAAACGATTCAAGACACTGTGCATATATGTATTTCAGTGACAAAACCACCAAAGGGAAGTATTTCTCAACAATTATGTTCCCGTAGTTTTCAATATATATTTTTCTCAGAAAGCATACATCATTCCCAAGTCTCAGTGGTTGCAACTTTTTTGTCACACACTTGTTTTCATAAATGACAACGTTTCGGAAACGTTCAATCAAATGACTCGTGTGTGTTAACTCATATTCTAATACCACATTTGACATTTGTAAACTGTCGATTATAACGGTATCGTGAAATGCATGCGATATGGGCCAAGAACTAATTTCGAAGCTCTCGTTGCGCTAATATAGTCGTAAGTGTCATGCATTAACATGCGCTAACAGAGCTT